AATGCATATTACTAATCAAAAGTTAAGTTTTGATATATTTACGGTTGGAAGTTTACAGAATATCTTCATGGATCATGATCTTTACTTAATATCCTAATGATTTTTGGCATAAAAGAGAAATGTATAATTGTGATCCATACAATGTATTGTTGGCTATTGCTACAAATATCCCCCAGCGACTTAACACTGCTTTTGTGCTGCAGGGACACAAATTACTACAAATTTTAAATTAAAATTAAAATGAAAAATAAACTAATTCAGAATAATAGTAACACTGGGTCACATGACATGCAGGTAAACAAATAAAATATTTAATTTACAAATATTTATGTACATTTATATAAAATAAACATGCTCCAGCGAATCATTTAAAAAATAATTTTCATTATTATGGTTCACAAAAACTAAAACCATAATAAGTTGCTTAAAATAAAATGTTAACTGCTGCCAAGGCAGCATTTCTGTCTCTTTTTTTTTATATATATATCTTTTAGTACTAAAATAACTAAAACTGATATATAGATTAATATTTCTATATATTAAAAAACAAAAACAAAAAAAATGACAAAAATCACTTTCACAAAATAACTAAAGCTTTAACGCAAATGAAAAAGAAAAAAAAAAGTTCTAAATAATAAAACTATAACAGGACATCAGTGATGCTAAAATAATACTAGGTACATAAATGCAGCCAGGTAAAAAATGTAACGTTTATTATATAATTATGTATTACATAAAAGTAAACACTAAATGTATTATATTTATTATATCTTGTGTCTTATTTGGTTTTTATTAAAAAAAAATATTTATTTAAAAGTTATTTTTATGGTTTAATTAATTATTACAAATCTCAATGAACTGCACTATCCCCAGTTCGAGAAACCCTTGCAGAAAGTTCAGTGCTAAAATTGTAAACTAATGAGCAGATATACCTGTATGATACACACACAGCATCATCTGAGCATCATGTGTTTGTCTTCTCCTGCAGGCCCACAGAGATGAGCTTCAGCGCAAGTTTGACGCGCTCCGAGACAGCTGCTCGGTGAGTTTATCTGCGCTAAGATTTCCCACAATCCCCTGCACTGCTCAGGAGGGTTGAATATGATTTGGTTCTCTTGGTCGTTTTTCTGACATTTACTTAACTGTTTCTCTCAACCTTCTTTTGATTCACTTCAAATGAAATGGCATCTAAAGCTCCATACAGGACGAGAACAGACTGAAACTGTAAGGTTTCAGTGCTGTGTTGTGCTCGATAGCCTCTACATTTAGCTTGAGGATCCTCAGGGATCGGATAAAGAGCTCGGAGAGAAGTTATTGATTAGAACAGCCAAAGAAAGCAGAGATCTAAACAGTGGCTATCATCTTCTGTTGGCCGTGACACACAACAGAATCAATATAGACTGGGGAAAGTTGCTGTCACTTTAGTATCTAATTTAATGAACTATAGTGTCCTGCACCCACTAGTAAAAAAATATAAAAAATGATATCTGGTGTCTAAATTTGTTTTGACTATGTATATAACTATAAACTTAAAATTTCTACACTCATAGTGACTTTTAAATTACATTTTCTTAAGTAATAAAGTCTTATAAGGCTAAAATAGCGCTGTATTTGTGTATTGAATAGTGATTATCTGTCTTATATTTTTATTACATTAGGTTTATAAATCTCAATCTCTATTCTACACACCCTCTATGACTATTTAAGTTGAAATCTTTTTAAACTATTGCTCAGCAAAGCTACTAGTGTTGTTTTTCTGCCTTGTGAGTAGGGATGTAACGATTAACCGCGAGCCGGTTGAAAATCGATTTAAATATGTGACGAATCACATCGGTTGAGATGCTAAACAAATCACGATTCAATAAGGGGTAGTTTATATGAATGCATGTCTGAGGGGAACTTACTAATGTCTTTCGATGGTATTTTCTCTTTTCCTCTTGCCTCTGTATAATGCATATTAAAGTTCATAAGTGCAGCACTGCTTT